ATTTTGAAGGTATTTTTTTCTGTCAGAATTCATGGGGCTTCAAGTACAGACATCTGAAGTGCTGGGTTCCCTGAGTGCAGTGCCACACTGATTTGTGTGTCTGCCTTCTCAGTAGTTTTGAGCAGCTGGGATAATGGTGTGAGGGCAATCCTCTCCATGCTCTTGGTGATGTTTGATCTCTGAAAGCTTCAGAAATGTGCTAGGGGCTTTTAACAAAGAAAACTTTTTTCTCCTTTCTCACTAGGCCGCCTTAATATTACGTACCCCATGCTGTTCAAGCTGACCAACAAGAACTCAGACAGGATGACTCACTGTGGAGTGCTGGAATTTGTGGCTGATGAGGGCATCTGTTACCTTCCACACTGGGTGAGCTGTCTCCTGCTGGGCTGTCAGAACCTGAAAAGTAGGATTAGGGAGTTGCCAAGGTTAATATTAAGGAGGTGGAATGTTTCCTGGCAGTGCCTGTCTCTGCTGGTCATGTTCCTACAGCAGCCTTTGGTTCTGGCTCAGGCTTCCCTCTGCAGAAGTTTAACTGAGCAAAGCAGACTGCTTTTAATGTGCACCTGACAGTTCTTCCTGCAATTGCATATCCATGAGAGCTGATGAACACAGGAGAGAGATTTGAAAGCATCAGACCCATTCATAGGGCTTTGTGTGTTTGTTCCCATTCTTGCAGATGATGCAGAATTTGCTGCTGGAAGAAGGAGGCCTGGTGCAAGTGGAGAGTGTGAATCTGCAAGTTGCTACTTACTCAAAATTCCAGCCACAAAGTCCAGATTTTCTTGACATCACCAATCCCAAAGCTGTGTATCCTTCCTATTCAGTTGTGGAATAAGGGGAAAAAAATTTCTTCCAAACTGGAATGATGAAACAGAGTGAGCTTTCATGTGTGGCTCATACACTTCCAGTAGTACGTGGCCACTTCTGCTCCTTCTGAAAGCAAAAGGGATGAGGAGCTGCTGTACAGAGATGTGGTCAGCTGTTGGTACAAAGTGTGTCTGAAGGAGTGTTGGCATAAAATCCAATGAGTTTTGGGAGCTGCTGTACAGAGATGTGGTCAGCTGTTGGTACAAAGTGTGTCTGAAGAAGGAGTGTTGGCATAAAATCCAATGGGTTTTGAGTGTCCCTTTGAAGAATTTATGCATCCTAACATTTCCTAGAATCCTATCTGCAGTACTGATGACTTTTAAACCACGTTAGAGAAGCTAAGGATTAGGGATCTACAGTGTGGTGACTTTGAGGCTTTGATGTTTTACTGAAAACAAATATTTCATCTTAACATACTCCAAAGACTGGAAAATGCATTGAGGAACTTTGCCTGCCTGACTACTGGGGATGTGATTGCCATCAACTACAATGAAAAGGTACAGTTAGGGTTGAGGGTTGTAGACTAAGTTTAGGTGTTGGATGTTGGTACTAAAACAATCCTCCCAGAGCTGTGCAGTGTCTTGGACAAATGAGCCCCATGGCAGATTTCACAGTTGGTTTGCTGTTGGAGGGAAAATGGAGTCAGGAAAAAGCTCAGTATTTTTTTGAGCTACTGTTTAAATTTCTTTGAACTCACAAGAAAATAAATGTTTGTGCTGTTGAAGGTTATACAAGTCACGGGAAAGAATTTATCCTAAATTCAGAATTTGTTTTCAAAAATGCAGCTTAAAGTACAGTAAGAGCAAGGTGCAGTAATGGGTTCTCTGGCTTCTAAGTTAAAAGCTTTTGCTTTTAAATTCTCTAGAGACCCTGCAGTACTAGTCCTCAACCTAAAGAGTACTTCAGGTCTGGAGGGAAAGGTTTAGATGTGCTTTCCTCACACATAATGCAATCCTCAAATGTCTGTGACTGTTTCAGATCTATGAGCTTCGGGTAATGGAGACCAAACCAGACAAGGCTGTGTCCATCATAGAGTGTGACATGAACGTAAGTTAAAGCTGATGGGGAAAGTCTGCCCCAAGGGTGTCCTCCCAAGAGGAGAGGACACTTGTGCAGTGATAGCTCTGCACACCCAGCCCAGCTGGTGCTGCAAGGAGGGTGCAATCCATGGGGTGGGAAGGTGACTCACTTGGGAGTGCTCTGTGCCTTTGTAACCCCATCTGTGATCCTGATGAACATCAGGTCACTGCAGAGCCCAGAACTGAATGTTTAGCTTTGGCATGCTTTATCTGGGTTTTATTTCATAGCTTGTCTTGACTCATATTCCAGTGATATTGTGGAGCTGTTTTACTGCTCTGTTTTCATTACATGCTAAGGTTCATTCCTAAGAGGCTTGGTCTTTTTTTAGTTCTGAGTTAAATTGTTTAACAACCAAATCTTAGTTCTTTTTAGATCCAATGTAGTGATAATAGTTTATGGAGTTTTGAGGAATAGTAATATAAAGCTTATGATTTAAAGAAAAATATTCATCATGGGTTTTTTCATGCTTCTTGTGCAAATAGGTGGATTTTGATGCTCCTTTGGGATACAAGGAACCAGAAAGAAGTGCACAACACGAAGAGGCCGCAGTACGTTCAGCTTTTGTTCTTCCAAAATGCATCCCCTAAAGTCACTATTGATTGTGGAGAGAGTGCCAACATATTTTTATTAATTAAAACAAGTTCTTAGGGGTAAATTTTACTTACCAGAATCTTTTGCATATGCTCCTTAGGAGACTGGTGTTTACCAACTGTTATTTTGGGAAAGTGATTGTTGTGAAGTTTTGTTTGGTCAGAAATACTTGGAACTGTTTTCATGTCAGTGCATGTCAGAACAAAATGAACTTGTTCTTCCCCTCACAGGATGTGGAAGCAGACCACAGTGGATATGTGAGCGATGTAGGATTTCGTGTAAGTGCCCTGTTCTGCTGCTTTCTGAATGCTGTAAATGCCGAGGGAAAGTTGTTCTGAACGACTGCAGAACATTAGTACCTGTTCCAGAGATGCTGTTTATTTAACTGGCAAGTGCCTGGGATGTTTGTGTGACCACAGCCAGGAGCAGCATGACTTGCTGTCTGCAGAGGGCAGATGGGAGGCTGAAACAGACCCCTACACCCACGATTCATCATCTTACATGTACCAGAAAGAAGCATGCTGATTTAAATAACTAAATAAAAATTCCTGTAAGGTTTTACAGATATAGTGTCCTTGTGCAGTGTGCTTTCAAATGCCAGGAGTTCAGTTAAAACTGGTTATGTATCCACAGGCATTCTCTGGATCTGGGAACAGATTGGATGGCAAGAAGAAAGGTGTGGAGCCCAGTCCCTCCCCAATTAAACCAGGAGACATCCGAAGGTATGTCTGTATCATCCACCTGTAAACCAGTGCAGCATCAGGGTTTGGGCAGAGTTTGGTTTTTTCCCTGCTCCTGCAATATAAACAACCTAATTTTGTCGTGAGTTTGACTTTAGAAAATAGTCTTTCTTATCCACAGGCTGGTGGAAATGTGCCTGTGGCCAAGCTTCCACAACAACTCCAGTATTTGGTTATTTACTTCTGCAATCTTCAGAAAATAATTCAGTGGTTTAACTCTGGAATTTATTAGAAATGAAAATATGCAGTCAGTATTGGTATTACACTTTCAGACACAGAATAGGTTTCTCTGTGTCAAATTCAACAGTATATAAAGCAATCTTCAGAAAATAATTCAGTGGTTTAACTCTGGAATTATTTATAAATGAAAATAGGCAGTCACTGTTGGTATTACACTTTCAGACACAGAATAGGTTTCTCTTTGTCTGTCAAATTCAACAGTATATAAGCATACTGTTTTTATTCTTCTTTTCCAGAGGAATTCCCAACTATGACTTCAAGATCGGTAGAATCACGTTCATTAGGAATTCACGTCCACTGGTCAAGAAAGTGGAGGAGGTAAATAAAGTTGAATCCTCCCCAGTTTTGCACAGAATTAGAACTAAGATCCAAGTTTGTGGCCCCTCTGTCTTTTTTTACAGCATGCTTCCTTTAAAAAGCAAGAAAGTGGAGGAGGTAAATAAAGTTGAATCCTCACCAGTTTTGCACAGAATTAGAACTTAAGATCCAAGTTTGTGGCCCCTCTCTCTTTCCCCTTGTTTTTTTTACATTTTTTTACAGCATGCTTCCTTTAAAAACTGGCAGTAGTTTAGAATGGTTTGAGTCAAAGGAAACCTCTGATGTCCTTGTCACTGATGGAAAAAGACTGGCCTGGTGTCAGTTTGTTAAGCCAGCTGGCTGAAAGGCCACCAAAGTGCTACTGTTTTATTTTCAGGAAGAAAGTGATTTTTGCCCAGATTAGGGATGTGAAATGTCTACAGTCAGTGCAGTATCCTTGCTAACAATCGTTCAGCTTTCATCACACGCAAGCAGCGAGCCAAGAGGTGAAACCCTTTCTCCTCTCTTTGCCAGGATGAATCTGGAAGCCGGTTCATTGCCTTTTCAGGAGAAGGCCAGTCCCTGCGCAAGAAGGGAAGGAAGCCCTGAGCTGTGCTACCTGCAGCTCCTGAGGGGGAAATAAAACACCGGGTGCAGCGTCTTGGATCTTCGTTTTGCAACACAGGAGCACTTAACTGGTGTTTTGGTTTCGTGTTTGGAGCTGGAGCTGTCAGACTGTCTTAATTTTCAGTTGAAAATTAAGTTCTGGGATTTGGAAGAAGCTTTTTGTACGTGTTGTAAAGAGGGGAGCACAGGTGTGTGGTAAACCTGAGAAGCAAAACTAGCAAGCTCTACCTTACTGAGGGTCTGGTTCTTAGACTACATCTTCCCTTCATCTCCTGAGTGATGATGATCTCTTGTTGCTCTGTGCTTGGTATTTTCCTTCCTTCATATATATTTTGCCACAATTTCAGATCAGCTTTTTGGTGTGGTGCAAATGAAGGGTGACTTTGGTGTTTAGGATTTTAGTGCAGGGAGTCTCTTTGAGCTTAGCTTCAGGTGTTGGGTTATTAATCATTCTAAGCAAACCCCCTGTAATTGCTTTTTATATTTATAATTAATGACATGCCTTTTAATAGTTCAGATACTCTAACGTAGCGTAGCAATCTCTTGGCACGTGTAGGGAGAGGAGGGACCCCGCTGCAGCTTCGGAATGGTGCGAGTGTATCCCGTGCGCCTCGTCTGCCGGCGAGCGCACCCGGGTGCAGCCCTGCGCTCTGCGGCGAGCCCGAGTAAAAGTTCCTCGTTCCCAGCTGCGTGCTGTGTGCTCATTTCGGACAGACCGAGCCCCGGGGCTGCCGCGGTCCCGGTGCCTCCGGGGCAGCGCCCGCGGCCTGCGCTGCTCCCTGCCGGCTGCGGACCGCCATGGCTGCGGGCGGGGCCGCTCTGTGCCGCCCCTCGCCATTGGCTGCCGGTCCCGGGCCGCTCTGTGCCGCCCCTCGCCATTGGCTGCCGGTCCCGGGGGGCCGGGGGAGCCGGGCCGGGGCCGGGATCGGGATGGGGCGGGGGGCTCGGCCCGGCCCGGCGGGACCCCGCTCAGCCCGGCCGTGTCCGTCCGCAGCCGCCGCGCTCGTGCGAGGACTACTGGGCGGAGTGGAAGCACTGCCGCGGGCTGCGGCACGCCTTCCACCACTACTACGCGCACGGGGCGCTGCCCGCCTGCGGCCGCTGGCGGGAGGACTACGAGGCGTGCCGCGCCTGGGAGCGGGAGCGCCGGGGCCGGGGCGGGCTGTCTTAAAGTCCCGTGAGGAGCCAGGGAGAGTTTTCGGTTTTCAGCTGTAAACGCTGTTGATTTCTGTTGCTCTGGCGTTTCCTTGTAAAAGGAAAAGCCGCCGCGTTACAGGGAAAGGCGTTCCTGGGGTGTGTAGAAATGCCCCTGGCTCCAGCCAGCTCCTCCTCCCGCCAGCCAGGACAGCTTCCTTCCAGCTTCCTTCCTAACTTAGAGCCAGAGGCAAAATATAAATATGACTTAGTCAAAAACTTGTATTCTGGCTTACTTAGATAACATTTAGCGCATCTGCTTATGCATGATAAATTTTTATTTCTTCTTTTATCTCAGATGTTCACAGCAGGAAATCAGCTCTGTGTGACTGGAACATCCAACACTATTATGGTAATATTTTTTTTCCTGTATTTCAGGAAGCTTTGTGCAAGAGTGAAAGAGCTCGAGTTATGGAAAAACAGAAATATGCTCCAGTGTGGAAGCTCAGGAAGAGCCCACCACCTGACTGGTATCTACCACTTGACCACGACAAATCAAATTAACAAGACTGTTTTCTGTGTCTTGGTCTGTACCATAATACACAATTCAGAATTATGCTTTTTTTTTCCCTTTCCACATCATCTTGAAGTTATTCAGCTGTAGCTCTGCCCTACAATACTTTAGCACTTGCTCAAAAATTCTGAAATTTTATTTAAATAATGAACATTTTTAAAGGGAGATATGAGGTGATTAATTTGGTTGTGGTCTTTTACTGTTGACTTACATTTCAGGATTTCATTTCAGCAGGCACCTTCCAAATTAATGCATGCATGCTCTAGCTCTGAGGGCCTCTTGCCCCAGCAGCTGGCATTGAGCACTTCTGGAACAAGGTGCCCACCCCAGGCCTGCCAAATGGGGAGAAAGAACCAGGCTGGCACTCTTCCTTTCTGGCTCAGGACAATCCCAAACAATGGCATTTAAAGGACTTTTCCCAGAACCAGGGCTGTGGTGCTTGAAGAGCTCCTCACCTGTGGGCTGCACACCCTGGAACTGCCCCTCTGTGGAGCTGCTCTCCACTGGTGGTGTGTGTTGTGGCAGTGTTCAACACAACTGAAAAATAAAGGTTTAAACGAATGTAGAGAGAGATCTGGTTTGTATTAGGGCAAACCCACAGAAACTTAGTTACAACAGTTACATGGCAACATAAGAAAATTAAAAAAATTGGCTTTGCCACTATGTAAGTTGTGTAGCTTTGCTAGGTGTGTTATTACCTGTACAGTCATTGAAACACAGAGACACTTCCTTTATTTGTTTACAGTCACATCCTGCAGTGTTGTAACCTGCAGGAGAAATTGTTTATTGCTCCAGTCTCTGTTCCTTCAGCGCTGAGCACCTCAGCAGCTGCAGCAGGAGCTCCCCGTCACTGTGTGTACACCTTGGTGATGTCAACGCACTTCCCCTCGGGGGGGTCGTAGCCAGGCAGGGGAGGGGTGTAACTGGGCCCGTCCCTCTGGAAGGGGAAGAGCGCCTCGTCCCTCAGGACTGCTGCCTGGTACAGCTCCTCGGACTCCAGCTGCAGCTCCCGCAGCGCCTCCTGCTGAGATTCCACCAGGGCTTTGATTGCTTTCTTTTCTGCCTCATCTTGTTTCTGCTTGAACAAACACCACTTCTTCAAAAGCAAAACTCTTCTTTCAGCCTCTTCAGGAGAAAGAGCGGGAAGGCTTCGCACCCTGGTGAGGAGAAGGGTAACAGTGCAAAGGAGAAACAGCCTGACCAAGGACCAAACTAAGAAAAACAAAATGCCCAAACCAAAAATCCCACCACCAGGCAAAAACCCCCCACCAAGCCCAGAGAGTACACTGAATTCACTAGTAATTTACTCAGTCTGTGAGGTCTTCCAACAGGAAATTCACTGTTTTCATTATTTTTAGCAAGAACAAATAACATTTCCCTTCCAGATTTTTGCCCTGATGGAGGTGGGTAAGGTTTTGTACCAAGGCTGGCACTGTGTTGCAGCTGTGCAGAAGAAATTCACTGTGAGTGCAGGTGCAGGGTGAAAGGCAGACCCACTGACCTGTTGCTCTCTGAGTACTTCAGTGGTGTTATAAAATCCTCAATTGGAATCAGTTCTGGGGCTGCTTTTTCCAACTTTTTAAGCCTTTTCTTCATACGCTCCTTCTGTGCTTGCTCTTTCTTCACATCCACTTTCTTCTTCTTCTTTGGTTGTGCTCTACAAGGGAAATAGTAAATGAAAGAAGATATTTTGTCCTTTAATTCAACACCAGCAACGATCACTTTCTTTTCCATTATTTAATTTGTCCCTGACACAAGTTCCAGCCATTAGCTTTATTCAAGTAATGCAATTTCCAGTGACATGTCTGCTGAGATTTTCTGTAACTGCCTGGGAAAAGCAATTTTGTGCTGAACATCAGAATGACCTGAGGAAGTTCCACAAAAAATTGAATTAGAATTGTTTTAACTGGCTCAGAGTGCAGCTTAGTAGGTTTGTCATACTTATGTTGGAAAGGACCTTAAACCTCCTGTGGTTCTAATCCCTGCCATGGGCAGGGGAACCTTTCACTAGACCAGCTTGCTCCAAGCCCCATCCAGCCTGGCCTTGAACAAATATTCCTGTTATTCCACATTAAAGACTTCAGGTGGTTTTATACAAGCTTCTGAAATGTCTGCATTTGGGGCCAAGTCCAGGCTGTAGATGTTACTTCTCCGTGCAGATCCAAGATACCATTGCACACCCCACAAACACAAACTGACCCTCATTCCTGCCTGGCAGCCTGAACAAACATTTATGCGGTGAAACAGTCCCTCTCCAACAGCACCTAAGAGCCACCTGGGTATTTTAAATCAAGCTGCATCAAAACAAAACACAGACACTGAAATGTGGCACAGAAACACACATGGGCAGCCTCTGCCTTCACAGCCAAGCGTTTCTGGTTCAGCCAGGCTTTCACTGGTGCTGCCCAGCAGGGAATCCTGGAGCACTGCATAAATCCCAACATTTCCAGCCGTGTTCTGTGGCTGTGCTACCCAAAGCACGGAGTGGTAACTGTGTCACCTCTGAACTCTCCACAAGAGGCCAACAGTTCCCAACTGCTTTGGCACATAGAGATTTAAACATGTACAGTTAAAGGTTAAATTTGGACTTGGGAGAATTTGTTCCCCCAGTGGATGAGAACACTTGTGTGTAAGTCCAAGAAAGCTGCACTCACCTCACAGGGAGGGACGTCCTGAGCCCCAGCAAGGAGCTCTGCCAGTGACTCCCTTGGAGCGGGACCCGCTGGGGCAGCCAGGAGCTGCAGGAGGAAAAGGAGCACAAGGCATGAGGAGGAGCTGACCGTGGTGTCACTGATTCTGCACAAGAGCTGTTTGTTATTCACGTTTTACAGTGAGGAGTTTGAACCATCTTGGGCCACTTCATTCATGGCAGGACACAGCGTTGGCCCAGAGATGCCCTCAAACTCTTGAGCCAGGTAACTGACCCCAAATACAGACAGGCGGTGTGAGCCCACCCGGGTACCGAGGGGTGCAACAGACACGGCTTTTGGATAGGTGACAGCACTTTTATTTTCAGGCTCTGACAATGACCCCTTAGAGGAGCTGGTATGGGAGAGGTCGGATCGCCGCCGTTCAGATGAGGAGAGCGATGCCGACTGTCCTGGCTCTGCGGCTGTCACGGGGGGAGAACCGGCCCGGGTGCCGAGGCACCGACCTCACCTGCGGGGCCCGGCCCGGGCCCGGCCCCAGCCACGGCCGGGAGCGGGCTGGGCAGGCTAAGGGGCGCTTCCCGGCTCCCTCCCCGCAGCCCTGGGGCAGGGCGGCCCCAGCCCCGGAGCGCGGTGCCAGCCCTACCTGAGCCGGGCCCGGCCCCGGAGCGCGGTGCCAGCCCTACCCGAGCCGGCCGGCCCGGCCGGCACAGCCGCGCCGCGGGATCCCGGGAGCGCTGAGCGCATCCCGCCGGCCCGGCACGGCCCGCGGCCGCCTCGTGCTGCTGCAAGTGCCGAGGCACGGTTTGAATGGAGCGGGATGAGTGTCCAGGCAGGACGAGGCCGTGTCCGGTGCCCTCGCTGACCACCCGGCTCTCACACTGCTGACACAAGTGCAGTATCAAAAATCCTCAAGTTCACTGAGCTGTGCTGTTGTTCTCCACGGAGGGAAAAGTTTCTTCCAGTGGTTCTTTCAAAACAACTCCCTGAATTCATGTAGTGTCCTGCCTGCCAGTTCTCTGGTGATGTTTGTGAGCTAAAACAGCTCAGAGTGAAGTGCTGGTATTGACAGAAGGCTCTGTACTTTCCTTGCGTGGCAAATACAGGACAGCAGCAGAGTTTATGTCATATTTACACTGCTTAGGATGAATTTCCAGATTAATACCTGTACGGTTCCTGGTGAAGCAGTGACCAGAAACCTAACACAAAGAGCTCACTTCTGTTTTTGCAAGTTTTGCCCTCAGATTCATGGGTACAGCTTTATTTCAGCTGCAGATTTTATACTCTGTCAGCGTATAAAAGTCATTAGCTGGGCTCATGTAGCTGACTGGTATCTGGAGTAAAACTGAGGCCAGGTTTTTCAAGCTGGAAAAGCATGCTTTGAGTTAAAAACACCAGGTAGAACTCTATAACTGCCTTTCTGCATGTGTTGTGTTCTTTGTGCTCATGCTGCAAATGCTGATAACAGTTTAAGCCTCGAGTTGCCATTTGTGTGCATCTTCACTTGGCCTGCCCTCCAGGGACTCCACAGGCAGCAGATGGACTCAACCTTGTAACCAAAGGTTGTAGTGAACTGAAAAAAATGTGGAAGTGCTTTACTTGAGATGTTTTTTACATTTCTGCTTGGTTACTCTAAACAAATGCAGCATTTACATCTTCGTCTCTGTGACTTCTTTCCTTATTTCTTTAATGGGTGCACCTTTTGCTATTTGTATATATTTGAAATCTGCAGCAATTTAGAACACATCCAAGCATTGCAGAGCACAGGCTTCAGCCAAGCAGGGCTTCATTTAGAGAGCCCTGTGGCAGTGGAAAATGCACCACACAGGGCCTTGATGTCCTGAGTTTTACTCCCATTTCTGCCTCTGACCTTTAGGGATGAGTTTGGCCAAGGTTTTTCCTCATCATTTCACCGCCTTTGCCCCCAGCTCCATTTGTGGGGTGCTCTCAGGGCTGCAGAGGGGTGCAGGACTGTGAGACAGCCACACACTGCTGTCCTTGGGGCAGGGAGTGCAGGATAAAAACCAGTGAGTTAATGAGCCTCCTCTAACGAGCCCGGGGTCCTGCAGGCATCACTGCCTGGCAGGACTCTCCATCATCTCCTGGGCCTTCCTCTTGGCTCTGAAACCTCTCCAGAATTCACACTGTGTGCTGGAGACTGATAATTCTTATTCCTTTGGTTTCTGCAAGGCACACGGGGCTGCCTCTCTGCTGTTTGTGGGTTCTGATGGCAGGGCTGCCTCTGCCACACACCAGAGCAGCTGCTGTCATCTCAGCCTTTCCTCCTGCCACTCAGTTCTGGGAGTTTTCTTTTACTGACTGGACTGGAGTGATGCTTCCAGGCAGACATTCTCCAGGAGATAATAGACACTAGAAGTGAGTGTTGTAGGCAGGAAACCCAGCACACCTGGGAATTGTGTGCTGCACAGCCCAGATGCTGCATGCTTACAGTAAAAGCACTTCAGCACTTTGTGGCTCTACAGGTTTTTGCCTTGGAGTTCTTAGTGTCACTTTTTCTGAGTGCTTATTGGAATTATTTCTTGCTCAGATGCATTTTCCATAAGCTTTTCACACACTTAATGTGGGTTTATTAGATTTTGCATGAAATTCTCATTATTGCTGTGTTCTTCTCTTCCATGTCTGACTTAGAGCAAGGAATATTCAAAAGTGCAGTCTAATGGTGGGGGTGAGAAGAGATTATTGTGAGATACAAGTGTGGGATTGGCTTCTCTTTCCCAGTGTTGCATTCAGCGCCTCATGCATCCAGCAGCTGCCTGTGCATACTCAGCACTCAGGGTTTGGGGAGCCCAGGTGCTTAAAGACAGCCCAGGCAGGCAAACACTGATCCCTGTGGGAAAGGAAGTCCCTTGCTGTTCCAAGAAAGCCTTGCAAGCCCCAAGGTGCTGCTCATGTATAACAGCTTGGAGGAACTGGAGCTGCTGTTGTTTAAATATAGGCATGGGGTTTATCTCTCCAAGCTGTAATGGTGGAATGTAAATATTTGAATTGATTTGTGAGTCACGTTGAATGTTATATATTAGAGGGGCTGGAAGCAAATTGAATAGAAATTCATTCATTTTGAGGTAGAAATTCACCTAAGACTGTTCTTATATTTAATTGTTTCTTGTATAAAGTTAAACAACAAACAAGAATGATGCAATGTTTAAAATTGCTTTTATTCTTCACTGATGTATTTTTTTTAAAGATGGGACCTTCTCCTTGGGTTTCAATTATCTTACTTAGATCTTTTTATTCCAAGCTTGTTTTGTTATCAGTATTTCTTTAAGTACATAATGCATATTTGGGTTCTTTAAACAAATAAGCCCACAGGACATCTGGTATATCATAAGGTGTTCTGTTTTTAATGAACCTGATTTGCCTCCTCCTGCAATGTGATTCTGGGAGCTTCAATAATTTAAGCTTATCCTTTTTTAGAAATTATTGCAGGAGGTCAGAATGTCTTAAAACACACTGTGTTAGATTTTAGTGTTGCTGCTTAAATATCACATTTTGTTTTGGTGCATCATTGCTGTTGGGAAACTCAGCACATCTCCAATTAGGAGCATGGGAAGCTTCAGTCACTTTGAAGCAGGGCCCTTGTGCCTTTTGGCTTGTTTCAGCAGGAGCTAACAACATAATCTGATAGAGACATGGACCCAGGGAAGAAGGTGATTGCTGTCAAATAATGGCTGCTCTTTCATTATTTTGAGAAATTGAAGGAAGTGAAGAAAAACCCAGTATCTGTGCTCAATTTGTAAACCACAAGTAGTATGGAACAAGCCTTACAGCTTCAATGTGTTACAGTTATCCAGCAGTGTAGATGGCATTCTCTTGATAGTGGTGCCCTGGAGGAAGGGGCACCCTGGCAGTGCTCTCTGTCCTGTGACCACTTCATCTGTTCTTTGCTTTTTTCCTTTTTTTTATTTCATTAGTAATTGGACATTGGGTACTGGGCAGATCATTGTGTATCATTAGTTACCTGTGGAATAAGATCCTTTCCTGGATCACTGTTGAGCTGCCAGGGCTTCATTTATTACTGCTGCCTTTCCTGGGAGCAAAGTCCATACCCTCCTTAAACTTCATGTATAAAATGATGCCCTTGTGACTTGACAGCTTTCACTGAGCTCTGTATTTTTAGGATTATAACCATTTATAAAAATCTACTCAGTGCTTATTTGATTGAACCCCAAATTTATGCTAGAAAAAACCTAAAAATAAAATGTTATCCTGCTGTGTAAATATATGGATAGTTTGTGTTGAAGCACATGGTCTTTAATGCCATTCCCATTCATGTCATAAAATAGAGGAGAACTGAAAGTGGCTTGGAGTGACCAGAATGACCAGAAGTGTGACACCCTTTGTACCAGGAACAGATGAGCAGTGCAGGATCTGTGGGCAAGCAGTGGGGTCACTGGGCTGGGGACATGATGGACACAGTCGTGAGTGGCACAAAAGGGATCAGTGTTGAGTGATTTTCCTTCACTGCCCTTCTGTACAAGAATTAATTGCATTAAAGTAACAAATAGCTGGCACAGATCCTCAGAGTAGCAGGTTCCTCAGAGTGCATGGCTGAGCAGTGGATCTCTTTGTGTAGGGGTTGTTGAATTATGGATCTGAGAAATGGCTGATTGAATTTATAGAGGGAAGTCCATTGAGGGCCCCTGATTCAAGGAGTCAGAACTGTCATTTCTTTGGAGTTGGAAGATTATCTTAGGAAGAAGCATTGTGTGCTTACCATTGCACAGATCCTCAGGGACTTATCTAGTGCTGGTTTCTGACACAGAGCACTGGGCTTGGACATTTTCCCTGGTGTGGCTAATTTTAAGCATTTATGGACAATTTGTAGCTAAGTTACCTCTGGCTCTCTAAGAAGAGTAATTTGCTGGGTTTCTTCAACCCCAAAGAAAAATCTTTGCCCAGGAGAAGGGAGAGAGCTGATGTTGCTGCTCCTGTAGAGTTGTGGTCTTAAGGCAGAAATTGGAGAGGCTGTGGTAGTTTTAGACATGTAGGAAAGGAAAGGAAAATTGTATCATGTCAGTAATTTTTGCAAAGCAATGAGTGCAATGACAATTTTTTGGAATGTGTGGCATATCTGAATATGCCTGAATAGTAGTGGTGGAGGGGGCTAGGTTGCTGTTCTTTCTGATTTGCTGGGAAAGTTTTCTCTTGGTGCTAATGATGCAGAGGCAAAATGAGCCAGGTTATTGGAATTCAGAGGTCTCTCATAGCTGGCTTCCTACTCTCCCCTACACATCTAATGGCAAATACCAGAGTGTATGAGCTCTTCTTGCCCAAGATTCGATGCAAATTGAAAATGTCACCTCTTCCACCTCTGAGGTCTCCAGAGTGGCCTTTGCAGTAAGTTTCAGTGGGCTCAACTATTTCAGATGATGCACTGGTTTAATATAAGGGAAATCCCATGTTTTGGAAAGGGTAAAATAAATGTTTGTTTCTTGTTCGTTTCTCTAAATATTCAGCTTAGCTGTGAATGTTGCATTTGAGTTAATAGAATAAAAGCAAGAATCAGGCATAACAAGCTGAAGGAAAACCACAGCTCATGTGTGTCTCAGCTCATGTGTGCTATGTGGTCTGAAGGACTTGGAAGGAATGTAAGTTGAGTGCCATCTTTCTGTGCTTAAGGTCTTTGCTTGGCTGCCTGTGAAAATTTTAAGGGAAGTCACATGTCAGAGTTGCAATATAAATCCAAATAAAACAAACCTTAAAACAAGTCAACATAAAGGATACAAAAGTCAAAAGGAAGCCAAATGTGTATCCCTTAAAAAGTAAGAAATAGTGGGCATTTGGATTTTATTAGGAGTTTAGTGTCAAGGTTTCAGTTGCTACAGTTGCACATAAAACTTGCTATTGGATAAGATCTCCAGGTTTTACCATTTATGTCTTAACATCTCCTGAAGATGCAGCACAGGGTTGACACTCAGGGGAAATTTATCAAGTAATCTTGCTGTGTGGGTACTGGTACTTTTGGCTGTTTGATAAATTGCCTTATTTTGTAGTGGATATATGTGATCTTGATTGCAGAGGCATTCCAGTTTGAACGGGTTGGAAGTGCTGCCAGAAATTCTTTGGACGTGGAAATCGCATGCGTGTTCCTTCAAATGATCCTTAGTGGTGGCTCTTGGAGCATCACTGACAGGCAGGAAGCTTGCTGCTCCCCTCTTCCTTTTCCTCTGCAAAGGTTAAAACAACTGTGAACATACAGAGAGTGAACATGAGCCAGTGGTTGGAGCAGAACAGGTTGGAAGTGAGGGCTTTCTGGTTTCCAAAGCTGTTCCCCAGCTATGTTGTTACAGAGTTTACATTCTAGTAAAATTACTAGCTTTCTTCTGAAAGATGTAGCATATGAAGAATTGAAGGATTTAAGAGTAATACTGGTCTTGGTTAGTCCTCCTCTTTCTCTATGGAAGCCATAAAATCAAAACTAGGATTTGGGTAGAAGACTTTCATTAAGAGAATTGAAATTTGAGACAGGTAATTGTGTGACCAACAGATGCAGCCTGAGATTGGGAAGGATTTTAAAAAAACAAAAACAGAAACCAAAAGAAGACTTGCTTCAGGTCATCAGCTAATGAACTGTAGAAACCTGGAAGAAATTGCATACTCAAATACAGTTTTGCCTTGTTGGCACTTGCTTTGTGGTATTACTTTGCTTTGAGGTATTTGGCATATCCTGCTGGATTAAGTGTCCCTGGTTATCTCTGGTTTTTGTGGCATGATAACTTCCAAACAGGCCTTTAATAGGCTGCCATTTCTGTCAGCAAGCTGCACTCAGCTCTTGTAGTCAGCTGTAATTCTTACAACTTGAGCCTTTAGAAGAAGTCACTTGCCAGCCACAAGAGTTATGGTGGTTCTGGTGTTACTGCATTCTCTTGAATGTAAAACAATTCACTGTGTTGCTGTTTGTCCTCTAATTCCAGGAAAGCCAATATTTTCAGTGGACATTCACCCAGATGGGACCAAGTTTGCAACAGGAGGACAAGGTAAGTCTGTGTACTGGTAGAAGACAGAATTGTGGGTAATAATAATAATAATCATTATCATCATCATCATCATTTTGTGCTTTCACAGTACTTGAATTGGTTTAACCCTTTTAAAAAGACATCACTTTTACCTCTAAGAAACAGATAATTATGTAAGCTATGAAAATGTATTGGGAAGTGCTGCTGCTCCTGCAGAAGGCAGGGTTACATGTTCTGATGTCCTCATCCCCTTGGATGCCATTGAGGTAGTAGCTGCTATCAGTGATTGGGTCGTGGCCATATTTCCTTTTAATTTGAAGAGGAACTGGATGTGCAGTTGAGCTTTTTCAGTTGCTAAAGAGTAGAGCTATTGGAACAGAAAAAATCCAATTATATAAATAGAATAGCTTAAGAAATACATGCTAAAATATTATTAGGTTCACAATAGTGAATAATTTTATGTTAGCTACAATAATTGCAATTTAGTATTTGAATATGTATCTTTTCTCTTTTAAAATACAATTTCATTACAAGTAATTGTCCTTACAGTTGGTATCAGTTATGTACAGTATGACTTTTGTACAAGGCTGTATAAATTTATTTTTAATAGCTTCAAGAGAAATAAAGTACTTCTGATTTGGTCTAATTATACCAAAGTGACATCTTTATTTAGATGTTTCCAAAGTCCCCACTGCAGCAATGCCTACATTTTCACATCTGTTCTGGAACTGAGATTGATTTGAAAAGCTTTTTTGGATGTATTTAGAAGGGGGAGTTTTTTGGTCTCTTACAGGTCAGGATTCTGGCAAAGTTGTGATCTGGAATATGGCTCCTGTCCTGAAAGAGGAAGATGAAAAGAATGAAAATATCCCCAAGATGCTTTGTCAGATGGACAATCACTTAGGTAACAAACTTGGTTGGTTGGGTTTTTTAGTTGCTGGCTATTGGTAATTTGCCAAAGCTTAAGACTTACATGTCTGCAAGTGCAAAAATAATGCTTGTCCAGTGGTGCAGAACAATAAAACACAGCAGAATGGTCTCATACTTTGGCTGTACACTTTTCAAGATATTCAGCAGAAAATGCTGTTAAAATGTGAGGGAATGTGCAGAGGACTATAGATACCTTTGGGAATCTCCTCCCTATAAGCTTTTATCAGCTGTGGCCATAAAGTATTTGATAATGCACATTCTGAGAATCTGTAAAGCTCTGGAGGAAAGGACAGGAGAAGTAAGTGTAAAAGATACATCATATGAAGTATATTGGTTATAGTATAAATTATTGCATTTATTACATTATAGATCACTGCATGGAATTAGTAGGGTCACCTGGCAAGTTGTCCCTTTAAAATATACCTCTCCTTCTTTGCCCTCTTAATCCCACTTTATTTACTAGAATAAGTTTCCTTCATTAGAAGAATATTAATCTTTCTTCCTTCAAGCCTCTTTTGGTGAAGCTTCTTTAGATAAGGAATAGAGTTTTTTAAGTAAGAAATGCCTCAACTGCTATTGAAAGATAAGTACCAATTCATTTATCTAAGGCAGACAGAGTAACTGCTTTGAGTGGGAAAAGCCCACTTAAATCCTAAATGTCTCCTGACAGGTTTTGCTTATTTGTAATATAAATCCTGTCTGCAGTCCAGAACCACTTATTCCCATATTTCATCTTGCAAACTTTCTTTTTCCCTTTCAGCTTGTGTGAACTGTGTGCGATGGTCAAACAATGGCGTTTACTTGGCCTCGGGGGGAGATGACAAGCTGATTATGGTGTGGAAACGAGCTGCGTAAGCATCTTTCTTCCTTCAGCTCTGTGTTTCATTTCAAGGAGGTTGCTCTGTGACATCTTAGTGCTTCCTCCCTGTGCTGCCCTTTGGTAAGCTCAGTGCTCCACCTGGTGTGGAAGGAGCTGAAAGCTGGGACACCACAGTGGGGGAGATGTGGCCTGCTGGGCTCACCGTGTCTGCCTGGGCAGGCTCTCTCCTCTGGAGGAGCTGAGACATTTTCTTCTGTCCTTGAAGAAAACCTGGTGAGATTTGAAGAGTCACCTTAAATGTTACCATTTTATGCTATCTATAGAAATTCTACATTTTGTTGAAGCTAATTTTTTAATAGCAGGAATTACTCTCTCTAAAAAAATGCACTTTTTTCCCCTTCTGTATTGTGGAAAAAACTGACTATAAAATACAAGTGTACTGTGCAGCTGATTTTCTTATTAAAAAGTGAAGAGCTTGTGGTGGTTCTTCTTATAACTGTTTGTATTTTAATTAGGTACATTGGACCTAGCACTGTGTTTGGTTCTAGTAGCAAACTTACTAATGTTGAGCAGTGGAGGTGTGTGTCGATTCTCAGAAGCCATTCAGGGGGTAAGTTTCAAGGTGTTGAATGAACATCATTTGCATGTATTTGGAAAAAAATTGCTTTTCAGCATCATACTTTCATGTTTGAAATATATATTTGGTGGCAAGGCAGTAATTAATTTTAAGCACAGCAACAAAAATTAAAAATAAATAATTTTGAATGAAATGCAATTTTCATACAAGTAGCTTCTGGCAAGTGTGGTATGTAGGAGAAAAATTAACAACTAAGAAACTTACGTTTTGCTAATTTCTAGCTTAAAAGTGAATCTGAATAAAGGAAGCTAAACTGTGCCTTTAATTAAATGTTCACACTAGCAGTGAATAATCTGACTGGCAAAAGACCATATTATTTTAAAACAAATAATATCAATGTTTATTTAGAAGAAAAATATCTGAAGAGCAATGCAAAATTTTAATAAATTAATAATTTCAAATGAATTTTGCATTTGCTGACATGAGCTGTGATTAAA